CCTCTTCACGCTTCTTGGCCTCCTCGGCATTCCTCTCCTCTCTCTTCTTTGCTTCCTCAGCCCTCCTCTCCTCTTCTGCCTTCTTGGCTTCTTCGCGTCGCCTGGCTTCTGAGCTCTTCTTGTCTGTTGTTGTCTCCAAGCCAGATAGATCATCAAACTCAGAGGTAGGCTGGTATGTCTTCCGGCTTGGAGTTTTGATGTCTGGCACTCTAAATTCTGGCACTTTGATCTCTGGCGGTTTGAAGGTTGGCAACTCTGGTGGGGTGAAGCTTGGGAGGCTAGGGATCTTTACCTCCGGCGCTTTGGGAACGCTTCTGATGATTGGAGCAGTGTACGAGGTAGCAGGTCTGTATGTAGGTGCCTGCAACGTTCGATGTGTTCGACATAGGCGCAGGTGGTGGCTACTGTTCCTAGTAGCGTTCTTGTTCCTAGTAGTAAGGCCAGGAGCCCCTAGTAGGGTCCTCGCTCCTAGTAGCGATGCCCTTTGCTCCTAGTAGCGAAACACAATTCTGCATACTGTGACAAGTTGGTGGCCTGACTCTCAGGCTTCGGGGGCGGTGGGGAACGAAAGCTTGAGGCCACAGCAGCCACTGCAAGCAAAAGCGCTGCCAAATAAGACAGACCCTGCCAAGAGAGATGATCGAAGTGTCTGCAGAGCAGCAAATCTTGCATAAATGTGCTGCTGATCAACTTGAACATTTGCCGAGCCTCTGCAAAGCCAAGCAATCCCAACCAACCTGCAGGCAACCCTTTGCCACGTTGGAAAAGGCTGCCGATGGACCATAGAACCACCCTGCAAGCGGTTGGCAAGGAGGACCGATTTCGATTGAAGGCCTTTCACCGGAGACTAGCCTGCGTTCAAACAAGTAGCAATGGCCTCCTACCTAATAGCGATGGCCTCCAACCTAATAGCGATGGCCTCCAGCCTCCAACCTACTAGCGATGGCCTCCAATCCCCTGCCAAGGTGCCCAAGTGAAATGATCACTGAAAGGAACTGCAGCCCAAAAGGCCCAAATTCAAAAGACTCGCCCGCAAAAATGACATTGAATCCCAAGGACAAGGCACAACCTTACAAACATCTTGCGGAATACTGCTTTTGCTGCAGGCATTCAAAATCACTGACACTAAGTTGATTTCTTGGCCTCCCTGTATTTCTTTTCTTGAACATTGACCCTATGTAATCTCTTACTATTGAAAGTTGAATACTGAAAATTGATTTGATTATGCACAGTCCCTTGTTCTGTGGCTTCAAATGATGCAGAATTTGTGGACTATATTATATATAACGACAGACCATAGAGTGCTGTTGAAAGTTGTGCTGAAATTGAAAAGCGTGGTGGATGTCAAAAGGCTGGCCTCCACCACAGGGCTAACCCAACAACAAAAAATGAAGAATATGTATCCGAGATGCCAATGAATGGCAAAAGTGCTAGGCCAACAACGAAGGCTGAAAAACCTCCCACTTCCACACTCTCCTCCTGGAGACTTTCAAGAAATGGCAAGTGAAAACACAACAGGTACAACTGCGATGAGAGCTGGAGGCAGCGTCAACGCAACTCGCAGTGTTTCTGTAGTTTGGTATGTTAAACAGCATGAGTGACTTCAACAACCCACGGTGGCCTCTGCTTCGCCACCTCTAGCGCAAAGCACTGTCTTTGGAAACCTCCCATGTGCAGCTGTCCGGTCTTCAACACCTCTTGTTTTCTGAATTGTTGATGAAATTGTTTTAGATAAATTAAGAATCCTAAGTGCGTTCTGTGTCAACTTTGCTTCTTTGGACGAGGAGGTATACAGATATCACGTGCTTGATGAACTAACCAGACCCATTTTTCGCACGGTGTTTCTGGTAGTAGTAGCTACAACAAAGAGGTCAAAGAGAGCATAAACAACCTGTGAAAGTGCAGCAGGGCGCCTCTGCGTGGACCTCCCTCCGGCGACGGCGACTATCTCGATATCTCTTCGGCAAACGGGCGCTGGAGTAAAGGCCAGCCTGATTCAAAGAGACAACAACTTCATGCACGAGCCAGCGCCCCAGGCCCCAGGCCACAAATGCAATTTTTCTGAAGCTATGTCTAGTCAGTCATTCTTTCAGCTGCAAGCAAGACAAACAAGCCCGCAACCAAGATACCAAAGACTCCATAGGCCAGCCGTCAAAAGTACACAAGGGAGAAGCCACTTCCTCGCGAGGCTGGGGACCAAACAACTGCCAAGCATTTGTGCACCTGAGCATGATGACCTACCTCCTTCGAGTGCGAAAATATGTTTGCATGCTATACTCCTCTTCTTATGAAGAAGGTTCCCCTGAAATTTTCCTCTGCAGAATACACCCATACACACTCCACGCGTGGGGCTATCACTTTGATGTGCATCCCCTCCGCATCCCGCATCCCCATCCCGCCTACGCATCCAACCGGCATCTCCCACCGACCAGTTCATCTCACACCAACTCAACTCACTTGCAGTCACTTACGTTCGCTCTTACGTTTACCTGCGCTTTGTTCGCTCTTGAGGAGATGGGAGGTTCTGCTTCGAGTTGTTCATTTCCAAACACTCACACACACACACACTCACTCACCCTCCCTCCCTTCCTCCCTCCCTCCCTCACTCGCTCACACACCTTTATCATCTTTTCACTGCCCACCCCGACTCCCTTGCTTCCATTCTCTACTTTTTCTATTTTATCTCTTCAAGCACTTGCCAGGAATTGTGCTCACATTGTCTAGGTGCCTGTATAAGCTCGGGGAGGGCATGGGTCTCAAACTATTTGCAGGGTTCGTTGTTTCTTGTCAGGAATTGTTTCAAACATGTGCAGTACACATACATGAAAATAATAGTAATTAATAGTAATAATAACAAAAAAGGAACATTGCGTAATCGGATCATCTTCAGACGTGCGATTCCAATTCATGTGTGTTGCAGGTTTACTTGTTTAAGCATCTCTAGCATGAAGGCCATAGTTCTCCACGCAAAGGCATGCAAAAGCAACGAAACTCTTGGTGTACCTAAGTTCGACACAACTTTTTGCTGACCCCGTGTTCCCCGTCATGTGGAACATTACAGCAGTGTCTATGGACAAAGGTTCTGATCAAGGCTAGTTTAAGACTTTTTGCGCACCCCAGCTGCGCACTCGAGTCATGTTTGTCTTGACACTGTACTCGGCTTGAGCTGACTGGGTTTCTTGCATCCTGAAATCATCATCAAGCCGCAAGCCTGTTAAATGGTTCCCTCTCAGCGAGTAGATTTCTTTTGCAAACCAAATAAAGACCACAGTGACTACAGGTTACACAGATTCAGTTGATGCAGTTTCATGATGTAGTCTCCTCGAAGCCATTCGGCTGCCAGCTTGAAAATTGCCAGGTCGGCTCTCTTGAGGGTGCATCGCTGCAGAGGATAGAAGAAAAACAGCAAAAAAGCAAGACGTTTTGTGGATACAAGAAGTTTGACAGAAAGTTCTCTCGACCAAAGGTGAACGTCCCGTCCTCCCTGCTGGTTTGTGGGCAATCCTTTCTTGTGCTCCAGAAATGAATAGCCACATCGCCTGCAAAGAATGTTGCTGAACCCCCAAATGAGAGCCTGCTCGAACAATAATCCTCTTGCAGTCTGGCAATGAAGTACAGTGTTCATCTAGAATCTAGACTTCCAGTGAGGTTTATACGAGTAGCAGGGCCGGCAAATGACAAATGAAGAGAAACATTGGTGCGGCCGAACCGAAACACAACACAAAGGAAAAGGCAATTGGCAATCGGCTTTACTTTAATGATTGACCGAAGCCAACTCAGCTGTCTTATCTCTAGCTAGCCTGCACAGGGTCGACGCCGGGTCATTGACATAGCCAGTAGAGTCCTCCAACATCATGGGAGAAAAAATGACAATTACACAAACAAGGTCTGATGTCGTGAATTTTTCGGTTGGACTAGTTATGCCGCTATGCCTCAAATAATTATGCCTCAAGCATCCTCAAGCTGTCTGGATGATCTGGATGTTGTGTCTGAGTATCTAGGCCAGGCTTTGCCCGCTCCTCTGGGGCCAAATACTTTGAGCATTTGCTTACCTGAGCGAAAGTCGCTGGTCGTTCACTAAGCTTTGAACACTTTGGCGCTGCTAAAAGAAAAGATCGATTACATAACTCCAATTTGCTCTCAGACCTACGAACAATAACCGTGCTGGAACGATCAAACGTGTGTGTGTGTGTGTGTGCGTGTCTAACCCGATCTCCAAAGGGCATCATCAGTTTTGCTGGCTGTGCTGACCAGGTGATATTATTAGAGCTGCTCATGTTAGTACCAAGATTTCTATCCGTGTACAAGCGGAGGGGCTAGCGGCTAGCGCCTCATTTCTCGACACTAGCCAACGAAGCTAGAGAAAATGAACGGATCCATAGACTTGTGCCTGCATCCCTTTACTTCATGTCCCACCTCTGTTCAAAAATGTTCAAATAATAGTTCTTCTGCGGACTTCTCACAATTCTGCTTATCAGCCAAGGTCTATTGCAGTAACTCGGCTAATGCAGTAATCCTGGAAGGTCTGATACATCCCTGTTATCTTCCTGCAGCAGAACTGTAGGGTGCATCTCTCTCTCTCTCTCTCTGCCTGTCCGTCCGTCCGTCCGTCCGTCCGTCTGTAGATGTGTGGTGTCAACCGTGCCTGGCATTCTCCTCGTGCTTCTCCCATCGGGTCAAGGTTTACATCAAAACTCGCAGCATGAGCTCGACCTGGCCTTGGAAAATAGAGCAACTAAAACAAACACAAAAAAACGGCTCAATAGCCCTGCTGGGTCTTGCACAACTTCCTATGGTCTGTGGTTGCAACTATGGACACATCTGACTAACCACCCAAGCGCTTGTACCAAACCAACCAACCTGTGCTGTTTCTCTCAATTTCTTGATGTTATATAATTTGTTTTTACAAATTGTTCCAGCCTTCTGTTGGCAAGAAGACTAGCGGCCTGATCACAGTACGTGACATCTTCGTGAAATGAAAGCACAGACTCAAAGTCAGCAGCGTCTGCCTCAACCCAAGGTCCATTGAGTCGCAACGGGGTTACCCCTCGAGCATCACTGTTGACCTGGAGTATATAGATCCAACTCACATCAGACGTACGCTATGCACAGGCTTTAAGACAGTGACAAGTCAAGTCTGCTTTCTTTTCGCATTATTTTTTCACTTTACCATCTTGGTCGGCTGCGCAAGCCAGCACCCGCATTGAAAAGTGTCCATCAGCGGGAAGCCTGCTGAAGCCACTGTATTCACAAAGCGGGAGCTGAATCATTCATGAAAACATACTGAGACACTGACCCCGTCAAATGCACCTTGCTGGATTTGGAGACAGCATGGCCACCTGCATTTATTTAACAGGCATCACAAGTTCCCAGGACGCTCCGTTTTTAGTCAGATGATATTCAACAATCATTCAACAGGTTCATTTATCCGAAGCCACAGACTGGTGACGTTGAAGCTGCTAGCATTATGATGTAATTTTGGCTGCTATCATTGAAAAACATTAAAATATTTATTTTAGAGATGACATAGGAATGAAATAGAAAATAAAATAATATCAAAAATAGAAAAAAAAATAGACTGCAAGAAGAAGATTGACAAATAATAGGAACAAAGAGAAGAGGAAGCTAGCTAGCTGCCAGCTGCTAGCCAAGTAGTCAGCCAGCTGGTGACTAGTGACTAGTGACTGGTATGACTAGTGACTAGTGAGTGACTGTGACTAAAATGCCTGGCCTGGGCCTAGGTGACTAGTTCCTGTGCCTAGTGACTAGTGATTGGACTAGGTCAGCTGTGACTAGTTGTGACTAGTTACTAGTTACTCGTTTCCTTCCTGTCCTTACTTATGCATTCCTTTCCTTCTTACTGTTTTTCTTATTTTCCCCATTCAAATATGTCTTCCCCTCTTCATTTCCTTCTTCCTTTCCTACTCGTTCCTTTCCTCCTTCATTTCCTCGTTCGATGCATCGGATATAGTGAGTCTATGTCTACGTCCTGGTGACTGGTCACTGGTCCAAATCAAACATGAACCACAGGAGTCTATAGAGTCTAGAGTCTAGAGTCTAGGTCCTACCAGGTCCTCTGTCCAAGTCTGAGTCTGCCCTTGGCCTGGCCTAGCTAGCTAGCTGCTACAATTACTAGCTCGAGCCGTGAGTCACAAATCTCTCTCTCTCTCTCTCTTAGTTCTAGCCGCATTCTAGCCATGCCTTCAAGCATCAAAAGGCGTGTTCTTTTTCTTTTCTATTCTTGCTTTCAATGCTTTTATTGTTCTATTTTGAAGTTCTTTTTTTTCCTAATTGATTCCTAAAAATAAATATTTTACTGGTTCTCAATTATAGCAACAATTTTACATCATAATGCTAGCAGGAGGCCTGTTCCCACAGAAGGCCGCCACTCAACTGCATATGTCACCTCTCGTGCTGCCAAGAGCAAGATGGAATATCACAGAACATCCCGGAACTCACACCTGATATCCACGATGATATTCCAAAATGTATATACTTCATGTTGTTTTCAGTTTCGCGATATTTTGTCATGGTCTCACTAAGTCTTGGCAAGGGGTGACTTGAATAAGCAACCCTGCACGTTGGATCAACTGTCAAAGAGGGATCGGGAGATCCTGGTGGAATTTAGGTTGGTGCACTGGAAGCAATGGGCTCTCTAGCCGACCCTTTTGGGTGATACTGCTCTCAGCGAAAGGTCTTAAACATGATTCGTGGACTACGCCTGCTTGCATGCCAGAGTTTGTCACTCTCACCAGCTGTGATGCTGAACAAATTGCCTGCTTGGGGCCCGAGACGAGTGCAAAAATGAAGCAAAGGCAATGTTTACCACTGCCTGGTGTTGTATGGTTTTCAGCACATGTTAACCGAGGTGTACAGTTCGCAGGCCTCCACATGCAATTGACGTACTGCAATTTACTTAGGCTTTATGGCGACATGTCGCTTCATTTTGGTCTTAACTCTTAACATGAGAATTGTTTCTTCATCTATGCTCGCCAAGTGGTACCATCAACTCTCGAGTACCTACCGAGTGTGGTGCAGAGTCTTTGGAAGGCGCTCAGATTCATTGCGCAACTTGTCAGCGGTTTGTAGGTCTGTCACGCTTTAGAATTGAACAGCTGCATTTCCCAAATCAGATTCTTGCCCACTCTTCCTGTAACATATTGGAGACAGGACTGAAGCCAAACCAATAACCCCCAGTTGAACAGATTCTCGCGCAAACTGCGCTGGAACGAAACAATGGAGGGATCTGGCCACTGTTGCCGCATGTTGCCATCAGGCCACGTCTGCAAGTTGCCGCTGGAGAAATCCAATTTGCAGAATCTGCTGAGCCCAGAAATTGGGCGAATCATTGGCATCGGCAGACCAATGGCACGATCTTGCAAGTTGCAGCCACCCAAATACCATCAAGGGACACTTACAAAACCATAGGATACACCATCAGAAGCTTGGATGTGTGGTGATTTTGTTTCTCTGTATATACATCTCTCTGATGTGTTCTGGCCCTCTTGTGTGTGTGTCAACCCCAATTCCACAGCAGGGCAGTGGCGCGCAGTCTTGGAGTCACCACGCAGCGAAGACACTCCTTGCACTGCGGTGATATCCGGAGGGGGCGCCTTCTGGACGTACCTGCATCGAATGATTTAAGCATTGTTATTGCGGACTCCTCCACTTTGTGGCTTGCACATTGGCCATTGACAGAGTCAGGTCGTCTTTCACGAATTGGCTATTTAAAACAGTGAAGAGCTAATGCATCCCTGGTAACGCCCTGAACTGTCTCTTTCTAGCTCTCTTTCTCAAGTGTGTGTGTGTGTGTCCACCCCTGGACAAAGGGTTCTCAACCAGGAAACAAAAGCAGGGGGATCAGGCTTCCAGCGACTAACCTGATCCAACGAAGCTGGGTCGCTGGAAGGGAAGTGGTTGAGGACGCTCAACCATGTACCTGCGAAGTTTTCCACACGCTGTTACTCCACTCTTCCACGGTTTGTTTCATAGTTCTTCATGATACCTCCCACAAACCCACCGCCACCTTGCGACGCTTTGCAGCCGACTTTGATTGTCAGACCGTTTTCGAATGCAGCTGCCAACAATGTTCAACAATACGGTTTTTTTGCGGACTTATGCACCTTTCCGTTCCCTCGCCTTCCTTCCCAACGTGGTAACTGAGTCACTGAAAACCAATGTCAGAGTGTGTTTCGCTCAGCCGTCCCACTCGGGTGCTGAGTGTGACCCCCGTCACAGGGGCGCCGTTTTTGCATAGGAAATCATCCACCCCAACTTGCCACCTTTCACCGGATTTCCACTGGAAGTCATTGACACATCCATAGAATCAACTGATGCATTGGCCGCCGGGCCCAAAAACGGGACTACTTCGACAGCCGCCGGGCTATAAAACGGTGCGGTGATCAACCCCCAATGAGGCAGGCCCCCCCGCTGAGTTCTACTCCCTACCTATTTAGGGCAACATAGGGAAATGGTACTCGACACACTTGTGTGTCGGTGCCTTTCCCTGCGTTGTTCCTTTTCTAGTCTTTCCTACCCGGGCGGTCTAAGACTAAAGTCCCGCTCCCTAGCTACTGCGCGCAATTCATTTCTGCTCAGTAATCAGTAATTCTAGAGGGCTAAGTATTCATACACACACACGGACACACACACACATGTACATACATTTCCCTGCCCCCCCGCTTTTCTTCTTACGCCTTCGGTCGTTTCTTGGGCTTTCTCTCAGGCTTTTTAGGTTGTTCTTGAGGCTCGTTTCCCTACCCCAGTCAAGGGCTAAGTAGTCATTTTTCCTACACCTATCTTTCTTTCTTCCCCTCTTAGCGCTGCTCTTTCTGTCTTTCTTTCCTTTTGTTTCTAAGGCTTTTTAGGTGACTATTTAGGTTTTTTCACATGCGCGCCGCGAAGCGGCACCGTATGTGTGCCACCGTTCTTTGAAAAAGCGCCGAAGCCGGCGATTTGTGTGTGTCCACCCCTGGACAAAGGGTTCTCAACCAGGTAACAAAAGCAGGGGGATCAGGCTTCCAGCGACTAACCTGATCCAACGAAGCTGGGTCGCTGGAAGGGAAGTGGTTGAGGACGCTCAACCATGTACCTGCGAAGTTTTCCACACGCTGTTACTCCACTCTTCCACGGTTTGTTTCATAGTTCTTCATGATACCTCCCACAAACCCACCGCCACCTTGCGACGCTTTGCAGCCGACTTTGATTGTCAGACCGTTTTCGAATGCAGCTGCCAACAATGTTCAACAATACGGTTTTTTGCGGACTTATGCACCTTTCCGTTCCCTCGCCTTCCTTCCCAACGTGGTAACTGAGTCACTGAAAACCAATGTCAGAGTGTGTGCGGCACCCTTGGACTCACAGGGGACATTTTGGTCTTACAAGCAGGGGGCCATCCCTCTCGCCATTGGTGGATGGCCAACGCAGAGGCCACTGGTGAGAGCTGTATACGTACCAACACAGGTCAAGCGGATGTATAGCTCACCGTTGCCCAAAGGACTTATAGATCGTCTATACGTCCTTTTCCAAGCCATGCGAGATCAGGCCACTCCATTCCCCACGATTTCCTTGCCCGCGCCGGTCTTTTCACTAAATCTGACTACTTGGTTCCTGGCCCCATGGATGTTTTAACAGCCATTCATGGCTGCGAGCGCGCTTTGCGACCTACCATCCTGATTTGTTGTTTTGCCCAGAGCACCAACTCATGGAAGTGTTGAAGCTTGCCAGCTTCGTGAAAACTTGCCTGACTCCGGCGGCCAACGTCATCTCTGGTTGGGTAACATGGTGGGTATAGGCCAAAGGCTTTAAGCAAAATCGGCAACAAGGAGCAACATTCTCATAGGCAATGCTTCTTCAACTGTCTTTTCGCAAAGCGGCTTCATTCATGTGGTGGGCAAAAACCATCAATGGTGCCAGATATGTCAACCGGACAGGCGTATAGGCGCCCGCGCGCAATCTTAATGAAAGCTTCGGCCCCACATCCTTTCGTGGCATCGCAAAGAGACAGGTCTCTGAAACAATTTCGGAATAGTTTTCTCGCTCGACATAAAGAATATATGGATTTTGCAAGAGATTCTGCCCGCCACAATCAAATAGAAAACACCGATTAAGAACATATGACGAAATTTCTTGGGCGCGCAACTGACCGAAATTGCCGCAAAAGGGGAAAATAGTTGCAAAATTTGCAAAGTTGAGAGAGAACTTCACGAAGATCCACGAAATTTCTTACAACATTCACATTGACAAATTTTCATGAAAATCCACGAAATGTCATGAAAATTCGCGAAGTTTCACGAAATTTCATGAAAATTCACGAGTTTCACAAAATTTCACGAAAATTCACCAAATTTCACGAAATTTCCCGAAAATTCACCAAATTTCACGAAAGTTCATGACATTTCGTGAAATTTCATGAAAATTCACGAAATTTCATGAAAATTCAGCAAATTTCACGAAAATTCACCAAATTTCACGAATAATTCACGATAATTCACGAAATTTGACGAAATTTCATGAAATTTCACGAAAAATAGCAGCCTGAAATTCCGTGAAATTTCGTGAATTTACATCTATAGATCGTCTATAAGGCCTGAAAACGTGAAATTTCGTGAAATTCATGACGGATGATTTTTTTGTGGCGTGATGCATTCTGAGGCAGCTTGCGGTTTGAATCGAAGGAAAAAATCGAAGAGCGATCAATATTTCAAGGCACGGCCCACAAAACAAAACGTGCTAGTATGGATGGTAATGCCCTATACTGCGCGCGCTAGAAACTTCATTTTCTTGTCACCAAATGAAGGATCAGGAAACTGCTGACCAATATGCCCCCCTAAGCAAGGAATTGAAATATTTAGATTTACGCGCAAAAGCAGTCAGGCTGCCCTGCTTTTGTTGCCTTCTTGTTGGCCAGCACTATGCTGCTTGCGTGGCTTTCCGCGTTGTTCTTGCTGGTCAAAGAACTTTTCAAGCTTTAGTAGAATTATGATCGCTCTGCGTGTAGCCCCCGCGCCCAATTCTGAGCCTGTTGCATTTATGAAGCCACCAGCCTCCCATGTCTAATTCTCTCTCGTTGCCACACCTTTTTAGTTTCCACATTTTACATCTCCACACGCTAAGCTGTGCAATTTGTAGCCCTGCAAGTCGGCGACAATATAACAAGCTCCTTATCCTTCGAAATTCTGGAAGCTCACGCCCAGTTGCTCGCGTTTCTTCCCAGCTTCCAAGCTGCGATGGCTGGGCGCAAGTCCTCCTAAACTGCAATCCTGACCTGCGTGCTATGAGCTTGCTTGGAACATGCCTTTCATTCAGCCCCGTTGAAAGGGTTTCTGCTCAAAAGGTTTTGGTCCACAACTGATCCATGAAATGCTTGCGCCCTCCTCTTGGTCCTGAGCGTTTGCTTTGCTCTCCCCAACCTTCTTGAAAGACGGCGCAGGGAGCGAAAGCTTTGGCGACCCCCGCAGATTTAGGTCAGGTATTTGCCTGGCCGTCACCCGTGGCAACCTCAAGCCGAAACCTGATAAAGTCTGCAAGAAGATCAACAAAGTAATACTTGTCGCCATATTATATGATTTCAACGTCGCGCTGCTCGCCAGCGCCACAAAGGAAGCTTACCACGGCTTACAACTCAATTTTTCGCCGCGGGGAGGCCCTGGGTGGAAGCATGATAGGAAAAGGCCGAAGCAGAAAATAGACTATACGGCGAACAGCCTTATAGGCTATCTATGCATCCTTTCAACCTGTCTTGGTACCTGCACTTTTAAGTCTCTTAAAAGTCAAGTCTATCAGACCTGGAGATGTGACGTTTTCGTTGGATTAAACGCCGGCGCTCAACGTGAGCTTTCTTGTCCAAGTGTCTGCGAATCTCAAGATGTTGTGCCTTGAAGCAGGCAATCTAAGGTGGATTTTTCAGTATACGCTTGTCCTGCTTTACTTGTGCTCAAGATGACTGCACTGATCAACGACAGGCTGAACCTGCGAAAGCTGAGCCAACCAAATAGCGATGGCATCCAACCTTGTCGAGATGGCCTCCAACCTACTAGCGATGGGTCCAACGTACTCTTCCCGTTCTACTCAGGCCATTGTTTCACCTAGGTTGGCCTGTGGCATGAGGCATTCATTTCCATACGCATTTCCCGAGTGTATGTGCGTGTGCGCGCAACCCGCTTTGGTAACTTTGCAAAGTCTCAACAGGGTGGCATCGCCTAGAGCTGCACGCGCAGAGCGATTCTGGCACTGCGAACGTCAAAGTTTTGCCCGGTTATGAGCTCCTGAGAATATGCGAGTAGGACAGCTTAGCCTGCATTGCCATGTAATCTCAGTGGCCCGGTAGACCTGAATCGGGTTTGAGAAGTAGGACAGCTAGACTGTATGTTTGTCCAGTTGCATTGCATGGCAGTCCACTCCAAGTGCTTTGGTGCTTTGCTGCACTTCTCACAAGAGGCCTTTGCTGTTTGCGCGTCCCGCCCTTGAACATGGCAGGCAACCCTTGAGCGCCCAATGATTATAGAGAGATCTTGATCTTGCGCTGTTTTCAGTCGGGGCAGGACGTAACAGGATTCTACAGTTCACACACAAGCCAATATAGGTAGAACAAACATTGGAGGGACTGACAGCGCCACGCTGCTTGAGGCTGCTGCGCACCAAAGCAAGTTCAAACCGAAGTGAGTAGACAAAGCTACTATCAACGCAGTCTCCGACATGAGCTCCATAGATCCCAAATCCCCTCTACTCCCTTCAGTAAATCCATGTACATCCTGAATACATGGAACTGCATGGATTATGCGTCGAATCCAGAGTTACAATACATTGTAAGGATGGGCTTCCTTGAAGAACCCTTGCCCTCTGAAGCGGGAATCAACAGAAATCACTGTTTAAAATTTGAAGAAGTCCCCTTGAAATTGTGTACACAAATCACAAATCACAGTTGAATGGACTAGCAGCCTTCTGCTCAATCTTCAAACCAGGCCACTCCAGGACCAAAGCCTCTCACCAACAGGAATCAGCGAGAACATGGCTTTTGATGGTTTTTGTGCATATCAGCTCGAGTAGTCCTCCAAGAAAGTTTGCTTCACTCGCATCTTTGACCACTCTGCCTCCGCACATCCCGAATCAGAAAAACATGTTATATTTAAAAGCAATTCAAGGCACTCAGGCACCTCAAGGTACAAAGCTGTTTCAGCACCTGTAGTCTCAATGAGAACCCAGCCTGACAGGCACCAGGATCGACTGGGTTTGGAATTAATTCCACTCAAGTAGCAGTGCTAGAGTGGCGCTAGACTACTGACGCTTCTGGCAAATGTTTTTTAAAGTTAAACTACAGAATAATGTTGTCCTTTGATGAATAAAAGGCCCCAAAATAAAGCCAACAATTTTCCTGCCCCGATTAATAAAGCCCCCGGAATACTGTTGAATACTGTTATTTCGGGTGGAATGGTATTTTGGTGGACTTTGTTGCTGGTGTTATGTTTCTTGGATTGCAGCTAGTCATTTTTTGTGTTTTTCCTTTTGCTCAATTATTTTACTGTCGTATATAATCTTTGTAATTTTTTAGGTCTTCCAAAAATTCCCGATGTATATATATGATTATATGTGTGCATTCTTTGCAAAATTTACAGAGAGCGGGCAAATGACGTACATTTTGATTTTTGGTTTTGCAGTCACTTGCAGCCACTTGCTCAGGCAGCCACTTGGCAGCCAATTGGCGGGCATTTGCAGCCACTTGTCACTCAAGCAAGTAAGTGTCAACATTGTACTTTGAGTTCTTTATTTAAAAACTGCAAGATTTCTTCGTCGCTAGCGCTGCAGAAGTTTGGATTGTTTTCTCGGGAAAGTCTTGGATCATTTCATGATTTCTCCGCGCACAGCTCGGGAGAAAACCGGAATTTCTTCGCAGAACAGCGTTGCAGAAATCTTGTTTTTTCAGAACTGCGTGCGGAGAATCAAAATGCGCACCTCCTGCGCGCTCAATGAAAATTTTTTCATGCTTCAAAAACATTTGTAAACAGGAAAGCATCCCAGCAAAGGGAGCATTCCAGCAAGCAAGTTCTGAAATAATGCCTACAGATTTGGTGTTTCTTGAATTGCAGCTATCCTGAAGTTGATCTTCATTTTTTGTGTTTTTTCCTTTTGATCAACTCGTTTTTTACTGTTAATCATCTTTTTAATCTTCAAGCCGTTCAAAATTTCCCAAGATACGCGCGCATTTTCTTGACAACAATTCTGATCAAAAACATTGAACAACAAAAAGCCAACAAAAGGGGTAGTCCAGCAAACAAGTTCTGGCCTTACTTTTGGGGGGATGCTAAATCATGTCTAGAGATTTGGGCTTTCTTGGATTGCAGCTTTCCTGAAACTTATTTTTATGTGCTTTTCCTTTTGACCACCTCGTTCAATTACTTTTCATAATCTCTTTAATCATTAAGCCTTCCAAAACTTCCCGGGAGTGCGCACTGTCTGTACAAAACACCTTATGTTGAAAAAACAAGTGAAAAATCTTTCCAGCAAAAGGGGTCGTCCAGCAGTGCAGCAAGCAAGGGGTGAACCTGCAAGCGGGTAGCGCAACCTTTCGACGCGCAAAAGGGCTGCGGTGACATGAGCTATACAACATGTATGAACTTCCCTGCGCCCCACTTAAAGCAGAATGCTAGGAGCAATGCCTCTACAGGTCAGTCCCAGAGCTCTTGCATCCTGTACACAAGCGCAAGATGCAAATGCCCTGGTTCTGTTTCCAAGCTTTGACAGGTAGCGTCCACTTTTGTGAACCTGTCATTGATCTTGTGCTCAGGCTCAAGCCCCCTTGGACCTGAAAGCGACGGGCCATGCGCTTGAAGAAAATCCACAGCATTGCGCACTGAAGCAAACGCAATGCTGATGCCAAAAGCGAGGCTTGTGAAGATCCAATCCAGGCAGCTCTCTGGATTGGGCTCATCTCCAAGCTGTCAGCTGTCTGCAGCATCGTAATCAGTGCGTGACATGCCATGCCCCACTGCGCTCACAGCTCCAACACTCTTGTAGTTCTCATCGAATTTGATCGTCTCCTTGTCCTTGACCATGTTGCAGGTCCCAATACCAATCTTCTGCCTCAGTTCACAGAATCGCTTCACCGCTATAAGGCTTTGGCGCCAAAGTCTGCCACGTTGTCCTGGGATGGGTGCAAAGTACTCCAGTCAGAGCCTTGGACACATGGGAGCTTTTCAACGCCTTTTGCGTGGTGATGTGTTGACTTTGAGGTATAGTGTGGACGCTGAGTATGGCGTGACTCTGCACGCATCACACGACCTGTGGCCCTGGGTGGCGAGATGGTGTTCCATCGTTCGAAGCAGATTTGCTGTGAAGGCAAGCCAGAGAACTGCGCGCCAAGATGCCTTTGACAGCAAGGCACAACAATCGAAGATGGAAGACAAAGAGGGTTCAGGCGAGTATCATGAAGTGAAAAGAAGCGCAGAAGAGATTGGGAAGGACGCTCCAAATCAGAACGCGTGTTACCAACAAGCTACGCAGGAAACATGAAGCATGTGAGAAGGGAGTATGTGTGCAATGATCTAGATATCATGGTAGTCTTTGAAGAGAAGCTGAAAGATGAAATGAAGGATGAAGGGTATGTAGGTAATGGTGAGAGCACCCGCCAGAGTTGTAATCAGAAAAGCTGGACATGCTGGACAAACCAAAGCACTACAATTGGCAAGGCCAAAGAGAAACACCTCCAAGGCCTCAGATCGTGCCAACAGAAGAAGCGCAGGGCAAGATCTCGGTTTGGTGAGGCAGAAGGCAGGCCAGCAATGGCAGACGGCTGTCCTCAAGACGGGCATGGTGAGGTGGTGGCGACGAGGAAAGACTTAGAAGAAGGCTCGCGGGAGGAATCTATGTTGGTGCACTCTACACGTGATCGGGGAGGAGGAAGTGGAATTGGTTGAGCTCTGGCGTGGCAGAGTTCAATGGAAGAGTGGCTGCGTGTTCAGAGGGCCTCTTCATGAAGGAGATCTTTGGATTCATCATGATCCCTTGAAGATGGAGGTCTTTTTGGACAGCAGTGCGGCCAGAGGCGGGTTTCAGCGCCAGGGTGTTGGCAGAATCCGACACTTGGAAGTGAAGAGCTTGTGGGCTCCAGAGGAAGCTGTCTTCTCTGCACTCGGATTAATTAAAAAGTCCGCTGCAATCCTGGCCGCAACTTTCTTATTGCCGGCTCGTTGTCAGCTCACGGAGGTGTAGCACGACTGGGCGATGGAGTCAGCGCCTTTACCGCGTATGGCCTGCTCAAAGCCAACGCCGACGCCGCGCCAGCGCCATTATCCGCACAGCGTCGCTGCTCTCAGTAGTCCAACTCAAAGTGGTTGTCGACAAGCTTCTGCTCAGTGGTGAGCCTGCGATGTGGTTCATCTGACGCATGTCCTCTCGCGCAGAACTCACACCAAGCAGCAGGAGGGATGACCTTCACGAAGCGCTTGATGACGAGCGCTTTGCCTTTCAGCCTGGTCACGTGCCTTAGCTTGCCGAGTTTTAAAGGCTGTGTCAGCCTTCTTCAGCCGTGCCACAAAGTGTGCTTGCCTCCATAGATGAGAAAGTCCAACTCTTTGAGACGCTCTCGCAAGTCAGCCACCTTAGGCCTGTCAGCTCTGGCACGCGCCTCACCTGTTCTTCGTCGTCCACTCCAGCGTACTCCCAGTCATATATATACTCATCACCTTGTCCTCCAACTGGAGCCATCACTGCCTGAGGTTCAGCATCGATGGGGATGGCCTCATTGTTTCTGACCTTGATGTAGTAGAGTTCTTGTAGAGGTACCATGGGATGTGTAGTCCAGGTGAGGATGTGAGAGGAATGGTCGAAACCTATCAGTCAAGTCAGAGGTGAATCCACGTCTGCTCATCTTGCCAACGCTGATCACATCTTTGCCGACCATGAGCATCGCGCTCGTCACCGCCAAACGATGGCCTGCACAGGTGTTCATCATTGCCAGAGTCCCAACAAAGCTACTTGATTTACTCGTCAGTCAGAAACACCCTTTCGAGTAGCGAGGGGCCTGCTCAGCTGCTGCTATCATCAAACGAAAACCTGCGTCCAACAAGTTCAGTTCTGGTATCCATGAGCTACGAAGGCCCAGGGTGGCCAATCTTCTTCTTTGCCACTGAACATCATCAGGCCTCCACCACCCAACTGCAAAGCCAGGGCCACTGATCTGCTGTACAACTCCTCCACCTCCACAGCCACAGGCGAAGCGAAAGCCTGCGGGAGAGTCCCCGCAGCCGCCATGCCACGCCAAGCCATGTGCTACGCATATCGCAGAGGATCTTTGCCTCTGTCTTACGTTGGCCCCCACGCGAGCACCTCGAAAGGCTTTACCCCGTTGACAGGGGGTTTGGAGCCAGGCGCCCGAGACCTGGCTCCGCTACCGTGCAAGCGGGTAGCGCCACTTTTCGACGCGCAAAAGGGTTGCGGTAACATGAGCCATGCAACATGTATGTACTTCCCTGCAGACCCCTAAAAGAATGTCTATAGATTGGCGCTTCTTTGATCATATACGATTACAGTATACATTGAGAATGTGCAGTTCTCGAAACCTCGAACATCGATTCCGATCGTGAGTTCATGTCTCGATTCCCTCATGCTCTCTTGGCCCAACTCACAGGGGCCCCTTGACCATCGCAGGCTGCCGCCATGGAGTGAAAAGAGGCGATAGTGTTCGCCCGACCGGATTCGTGCTGTTCAGTCGGCATACATGGTTGTGCGTTGGTCGTTTGCACTTTGAAGTGTTCCACATACAACATTGGTTGTCAGTTGGCATTTCTGTTGCGTTGAAGCTACCAGTGCATACCAACTGCACTGGTAGCGGAGCGGTGTTTGCTCCAGGCCGGGCCATGTCCGATGCCAAAGATCGCAATGAGGTGCCGAGTTGGCACGGCAGCTCAAAGACCTGGCGTCGGTATGTGAAAGAAGTTGGCCGGTTCCTGTCTGGCACAAAAGGGTCGCAGCGCAAGTATGTTGCAGCCAAGCTCATCAGCCAGCTTACAGGCGCAGCTCGTTTGTTGTCTATGTCCTGGCATCAACGAGACTTCGAAGGAGAAGAAGGAGTTCAGGTGATGTTGAGGAGACTTGCTGCTTCTCCCCTTGCGCGCCGTAGCCTGCCTAATGCAGCTGCTACGACGTCGGCCTATTTCATGTTCCAGCGGCGACCTGGTGAAAGCATTGCTCAGTTCCTTGTGAGGGAAACGTTGGGATTTGAGGAATTCCAGGAGGCCCTTCTCCAACTCAAGGAGGAGAAGGATGGTGTGTCGCCTGCCGACCGTTTGTTTGAGCTGCCTGCAATCATGCCTTCCGAGACCTCTGACCGTGGTGACTACAATCCATGGCGTCGTGACCAACGCTGGAGAGATTGGGAAGAGACTCGATTTGAGGAGCCTGATGATGGTTCACCACCAGAAGCCCCAGAAGGCTATGCGGCTGTTCCTCAGACTTCGGAAGCAGGTGATGATCGTGCACCAACACCTCATTCACCGGCGGGATCGCCGAACCGGACTCGGCAATCAATGAAGAGCCCCTCACGCAAGACAGAGCAACAGAAGTTAGTTGATGGTTTGGGTCCTATGGATTTTTTATATTAGACGTCTTACGTGGCTGGAGATTGCTTGTTGCCGCCAGCCTGTCAAATGATGAATGGAGGGACATCTTGGCTTTGGAATGCTTGACTGCGGTGCAACCGCCTCCGCAGGACCTGAAGCCTCCGTCAAAAAGCTGATAGCAAGACTTCGTGAGCTGGATGAACATTTGATGGTCACCATTGACCTTGAACGTCGACCGTTCTTTCGCTATGGTTCCGGTCGTTGGGGACAAGCCATGTATCTCACCACCATCCAGTCCTCCAAGGATACCTCCAAGTTCTTTGAAGTGTTTGCCCTGCCGAACCCTACAGAGTACTAGCAGAAGTCTCAGAAGTCCTTCAAAGAGCACATGTTGGTCCCCATTCTTGCCGGTATGGACTTCCTCTCCAAGGTTCTGTGCAGTGTTTGGCGCCCACAACTAGTCGGAGCCCTTCACCATGCCAAAGAACTCCAAGGGTCACTTCATGGTCGACATTGGCCAGTACCTGATCGGTTCATCATCCTCCGGTGCCCAGGCTTGCCGTCCACTCTGCGGCGACGCAACTCCAGGTTGGAGGACCCAGTGATGAATGGTTTGAGCTCGCAGTTCATGAAGATTCAGTTGCAAGCACGGTTGATGAGCATCACACAGCACTTCATGTTACAGCTTCACGTGATTTTGTTTGCACCATGCCATCCATGAGTGTCGGTTTTGAGATGTTGTTCAACCGCCGGAAGCAGTTGTCATCTTCTACCGCAGCCTCTGGCCTATCATCCAGGCCACCGTGTTTTTCGACTTCCGCGACTTCTGATGGCCAAGCCCTCCAAAGGGTACAAGACACCCACACCTCTGGACCCCAAGCGCCGTCAGGGTCACGACCTCAAGGATCCTCGAGCTCAGCCATCATGTTGGCCGTGTCTCGGCAAGCACGAGCCCTCAGTGACTGGAAGCAACGCTCGTGGCTCATGGGCAAAGCGCGCAGTGTGTGCTCTCAAAATCGAGTACGTTCCCCGCCAGGGATCACCAGCGAGCTCGGTCGTGCACAAGGACCACACCTTTGCGCAGAAGGCTCTGGAGATGCTTCAGGCCAAGATCCCCAAGGGCGCCAAGCCCACCTACGAGATGGTGGAGAAGACCTACGAGTACATGGAGGCATTGGACAAGATCCGTGCCATGAAGGCAAAGGTGTCCTCCTTGGAGATCGAGACTCAGGCCATGTTGAGCAGCCTCCAATTGCTCCACACCGGATCGAAGAAGACAGCCAAGACCTCCGAGGCGGAGAACCTCCTGGCACACCTCACCCCGGAAGAGCTTCAGCATGTCAAGAACTTGGCATCGCAGAGGCAGCTCGGTCCGGGCTCAGCTTTAAATGATTCCCTTCAGCCCAACCTCGCCGACGGACGACGATGTGGTGGTTGTCGCCACTCCCAAGGCGACCAGCCCGGTGATCCACCTGAGCTAGATGAGTCACTTGGCACTTCAGCGCCGGAGTTGCAGATTGAGTTGGATACGAAGAAGGTTCAGTTCTCTGCCACTTCAACTGAAGTCCATGAATTCGATGCCACAGCTTTGACATGTCAGGAGATCCGATCCTGAGCACACTTGTGAGACTGTGGACTTTGAGCTTCTCAAGATTGCCGACAGCAAGGTTTGCAAGTCCTTCAAGAAGGGCAGCTCACGTCGAGCCGCTCGCCAGGACAAGAATTCATCATCCTTTTCTCCAAAGACCACATCACTCCATGGTCAGCAGCATGTTTCCCCAGCGCAGGAGATGGAAGAAAAGCTTTCTTCAGCGCCGTCCCGTTCCTTGGACTCCCTGTGCTTCCTTGGAGGATCTGCCAAGCCGTGATGGCCCTATGCAGTATGCTCCTCCTGACGGCCCAGAATGACCTGAGCACTTTGCTTCGAGGTCATGTCGATGTGTGGGAGATCTTTTGTGCTCCCGAGTCCTGGTTGACGTCAGCATGCCACTCGGAAGGACTGACTGCTTCGCGGATCAACCTGCACCAGAACTTTGACATGTACCGTGCCATGATGAACTTTGGGACAAGTTCTTGCGAGAAAGGCCACGTCGCATTTGGATTTCAGCTAGATGCGCTTACTGGTGTCCCTTCACCTCGCTCAACTACCAGACCGTTGGGGACAAGAAGATTCTTGAGAAGTACTGCAGAAAAGAAAGAGCAATGTTCCGTCGTTTGGTTCCTTTCCTTGCAGCCGCCGTGGCCTATGATCCCAATGTCGAGATCTTCTGGGAGTGGCCCACCAGATGCTATGGCTGGAATGAACCAATGGTTCAACGACTTGGAACCGAGATGATCAACGCCAACAAGGAGTGGCTCTTCGCTCGCATTGATGGGTGCCGCTATGGACTCCTCTCATCACAAGGACTTCCTCTTCGGAAACACTGACCCATTGCCACGACTTCCCGGCACTTCTTCACCATCTATAGTGCCAAGACTTGCACTGGTTCTCATGAACACGATCACATCCAAGGAGTTGAAACTTCAAGATCAGCCTTCTATATCCTTGGAAGATGTGCAAGTCGATTGCGCAACACTGGCGGGCAGAGCTCTACCCGACAAGATGGCTTGGTCGTCTTCATTCGCCAATTGCTATGCACATGACTGAGGCGGAACAGCTCAACAGCTCGAAGCAATGCCTCAAGAGCTTGATGATGATGAGCCCAATGAAGAACTCCGAAAGCAATGGAACATCCAGGTACCACAAGGCCGCTGGACATCCGAACAACTACAACTTGGCCCGCGTCATCCGTGAAGCTGGCCAACCTAGATGGAAGGTGGAAGCCGCTCTTCAGCTTCCGTGTGATGATTGTAAGGCTTTGAAGATGGGTGGCACCTCAGCGGAAAGATTCCGCCAGCTTCTTTGAGGCCATTGCCTGGGAAATGGTGGGTCTCGACACCACTGAGTGGACTCCACTAAACAGCAAGGTCAAACACAAGATATTAGTCCTCATCAATTTCGCCACACACTACAAAGCCGCCAAGAGACTTCGAACTATGGATCTCTACAAGCAGGAGAATGAGAACACCACTGAGATCCTCGAGGGCATCTTCGAATTTTGGCTTTCCTCAAAGCCAAAGATGACCATCTTGGTACCTGACAATGCCAAGTCAATGGTCAGTGCACAAGCTCGTACGACTCTCTCCGACCTCAACATCCAGATAGAAGCTCCACCAGCAAAAGAAAGCTGGAGTCATGGCTTGATGGAAAGAGCCGTTCAGGAAGTCAAGACAGTCGCATCCAAGACCACCTTGTCCTTTCCATCGCTCTCAGCAAATGCCATTTTGGCCCTCTCCATTCAGTCGCTCAACGCCACTGAGATTGTGCAAGGCTACACGCCTCACCAGTGGGTGTACGGGAAGCCGTTCAGCTTCTCGGACGAGGATGAGCGTTCCATGCAACAGATCCTACCTGATGTTCCTGGCCAGGACTTCATTTCCATTTTGACCAATCGTCAGCAGGCAGAAGAGATTGCGAAAGGCGAGATCCCACTTGATCTTGAACAAGCTCAGAGGCTCAGAAACTCCAAAGTCAGGCAACCGCTCCAGGTTTTGCAGCCCATGGACTTGGTGAAGATTTGGCGTCGCTACTCCACCAACGAGGTGGCCTTCGCAAGCTTGGCCATCCTCAATGGCTTGGGCCTGGCCGTGTGGTCTTCCATGAAGTCATTCATGGGCAAAGGCCTGAAGAAGAAAGAAGACACATCGTGTGGGTCAACGTGGCCGGGGCTATGCACCGCTGTTCAGTGCACTCAGTCCGCAAGGTGACCGAAAGAGAGCGTCTGGACTACGAGATCGCCAATCCAGAGGATCCCTCAAACTGGCGATAGAACCAGGGTGCGACACACACAACAAGCCGAAATCGGCGCAAAGAGGAAGCGGTGGAGAACGGACCTTTTTTCTCAAAAACCGCCTGCGCGCGTGCAGCGTGGAGTCTTGAAGCTAAGCCGGAAAGAGCCAAGCGCTGGCTACCGGCGCTGGTGTGGTCCCTGATTTTCCAGGGTTGGGTGGGTTGCATGTAGGTGATGGTGCGTTGTTGGAGGTCAATGTTGAAGCCCAAAAGGTGGAAGTCATCCACCGTTTCCAATTCGACGGGATCGCCGAAAAAGTTGTTGTGGGTGAGGGTCTGGATGGCGGGATGTGACAGGAAGTGTTCGTTGTGGACAATGAAACGGTTGTCCACATAGCGGTAGTATGTGAAGTGGAGGGCAGTGTGTTGAAGGAGATTGTTGTGGAGCTGGTGCCAAGAATGTTCGATGAGAGTGATCGCGACGTTGCAAAGGGCAGGGGAGAGCTGGGGGCCAATCCCAGCCCCCCGAATTTGCTTGTAAGTGTTGTTACACGCCCGGAAAATGCAGGTGTCGAGTGCGTATGCCACAATGGTAGTGCTGTCTGCAGTGTGGAGGGTGCGTTGTGTGGGGTGGCAACGGTGGTGCCTGCCAATATGGGAGTGATGGAAAGGATTGCGTCGACTGTAATAGTGTGGGTGTGATTCTGGTGTTGCCATTGTTGAATCAAGGAATGAACGGCATCAATCAGGCGGTGCTGAGGGACGGAGTTGAAGAAGCCCACAAGATCATCGTTGGTGGCATGTAGGGGAATGTCTGGAGGGGTGTCAGTGAGGTAGCAGTGAAAATGGGACCAGAGTTGTGGAATGGATAGTTGACCTGGATGGTGGGGGATGTTGTAGAATAATGTCAAGTGCCCGGCTGGTGATGCGGAGGAGATTGCCGCTGAGGGGCTGGAAGTACGAGATGATGGTGCGGCCTTTTCTCCACTGTTTCTTCTCCTTGAGGTGGACGATGCCGTATGGGATCGTGAAATCCTTTCTGAAGCCCCATTTGTAGCGTGTGCGGAGGCTGTTGGGGATGGTGTGTAGCAGGTAGTCATGGATGTTTGACGGTTGAAGGGTTGGCATGGGCGCAAAGAGTTCGGGTGATTGCCAGGTAGCGAGCGCCCCGGTGAAATATTGACGGGGACAGAAAATGCGCAGCTGTTGCAGCTCGTGGTCAGCATGGTGAAGGACGACTTGGTCTCCCAGGAATTCCTGGAGTTGTCGGAGAAGGCGAGCCGTGAAACGGGGCTGTTGTTTTAAATGGTTGGTGTGGAGCTTCCATTGGTGTTGGAGGAAGGGTTCTAAGTGCTGTGTAAGAGAGGGTGGGAGGCCTTGAATGCGCAGCCATTTTGTGAAAGCAGTCTGAAATGTAAGGAAGTATCTGGCTTTGCTGGGGTAGAAAGTGCTGTTCATATTGGCTGCCAGGAAAATGCGGAGGTGTGGTGGTAGTGTGAGTTGTTCAAGGGTGAGGATGTAATGGTTGTCGACTGTAGGTGTGGTTGGATCGAGAAGAATGGTTCTCAAGTGGTGGCATGCACAGGGCAAGTCACTGGAGGTCGGAGGGTTTGGCAACGTATCCTCCCAGGTGCGGTGGTTGTGCAAATGGGCTCTGAGAGTCTTGTGGGCTGCTTCCCGCAAACGGTGGGTAGGTAAGTGGAGCGGGATGGCCAAGTGTTTGTGGTGCTGTATTGTTGTTTTGAGCCATTGTTCGCAGTGTTTGGAAAACTGGTCATGAGCCAGAAACGGTATGGTGAGTGGGATGTTGGGCTTGGGTGGACTGAGGTTGCGTTACTTGAGCGCTTGGTTGATGATGTGTAGTGCTTTGCTGCGGCCAGGTTCTTCCAGGTTGGAGGCCATTCGTCGGATGGCGTAAACTTCCAGGTCTGTATGTTTGCCGCTGCGTAGTTGCTTGGCTGCTTCAAAGGATGCCAGTGTGTGCTTGGTGAGATTGCGAAGGAGTGTGAGGGCGTGTAGTCGAGTGGAAGTGAAAAGATGGGGTTCATGAATGGCATGTTGCCGTCTGCGAAGTTTGCGGAATAGTCGCTTGTGGGTGGCCAGGCGAGAGTAGAAATGGGCGCGGTGCTTTGTGAATTGCCAGCCTTCTTTGAGCTTGAGGTGATGTGAAATGAAAGGCCAATTGAGCGGCGGCATCCAGTTGGAGATGAGGTAGTGTTCCTGGATCCAAGCTTGGTCGTAGGTGTCGTGAGAAGAAAGCTGGATGGGTGTGAAGTGGTGAACGTTGTTGTGAGAATGCCAGTAGCGGAGGGACAGTTCCGCTGAAATGGGGATGTTGTTCTGCAGCTGTTTTAGTTTAGCCCGACGGTTGTGCTCTCTGTGTGGGATGCCAATGCCAGTAGAGCCGATGTAGAAATGGCCATGTTGGTGATAGCAGCGGTGTGGTGCGGTGGGTTTAGGGTTTAGGGTTTAGGTTGAGGTAGAGTTTGACGTAAACTGCGTTGGGAGAAAGAAAGTTGTGGTAGTGATAGGTGTGTGGTTGTATTTGAAGGTGTTGAAGCCGTTGGCGCCATTGTTGTGACCGTTGTGTAGAGGAGGAGTAGCAAAAGAGAAGTGTAATGTGGATGAGTCCCGCGGCAAAGAGGGCCTCGGCGCGTTCAATGTATTGGCTGCAGTGAATGAGAGTGGACAGGGCTTGGTGTAAGTGGAAAAGTTGGTGGAGTGTAGTGTGGCGCGGCTGGCGCTGGCTGGTCAGGGCTAGTCAGCAGGCGATGGCAGCCCCCACGCTGACAATGTGTTGGAGGCTCTTGATCGAGAGCTTGTTCACTCGAATGAGGGGGAGGCCGTAGCGGGTCCGGCCTCCTTAAGCTGGTCGGTGGAAACCTTGCTAGTCTGAAGCAAGCGCAAGATTTCTTGGGCTGCCTCCTGCACTTTGGGCTCGAAAGTACGCATCCACTGTTGGATGCATGGAGGGTGCGGTCCAGGCTTCGGGAGCGTCGTCCTTGAGGGTGGGGTAGGACGGCTGAAGCGCGTCGGGGAGTGCTGGTGGTTGATGAGGTGTGGGGGGTGCTGCAGGAGCCGAGGGAGCGCTGGGACGGCCGGTGTCCTTCTTGGGGGTGAGCTCCAATCCGTGTGCTTGGAGTTTCTCACGGGCACGGGCAAGATCGTCGGAGGTGGCTTTGAGCGCTCGGAGGTTCAGCAACTGCTGGGGCATGGGCTTGTAGCTGGTCGGTCAGAAGTGTGAAGTGGAAAGCTCGGGCTTGTGTTGTTTTGTTGGGGATGGTGGTGCCAGCCTTTGTGTGCGTGGCTTCGGCGATAGCGTCCAAGTCCAGACGCTTATCGCGAATCTCCTGGAGGAGATGTGTGGTGAAAACGGATTCGGCCACGCTCCTGGTGGGAATGAGGCCGCAAAACTTGCCGTGACTGAGCGTCCTGGCTGTATAGTCAGCCGTCCCGTGGTACGCAAGGAGCCAAGGGAACACCTCAAAAGTTGGCAAGCCTGCGATCCTGACGCGTCGGGACCATTGCGTTGGCTGGATGTCCGAGTGGCTGGGGCTGTGTTTGAAGGAGGTCTGAGTTGGCGTTGCAGGAGTGCGGTAGGGAGTGGTGGTGGTGGCGGTGGGGGGAAAGAAGGACTGGTGCCTGTTGGTGGTGTGTGGGACGGCGGCGATGTCGAAGGTGGCGGCGTGTAAGGGTGCGACTGATGCTGTTGGTGCGTGCGGATCGAGTGGCTCATGGGGCCATAAGTGGCAGTCGGAGTGCCTCAGCGCCCGATGTGAGCTGGTGCTGCTGCTGTTGGAGCAGGTAGTGGTTCCAGTAGTACTGCTGCCATTGTGCGTCCATGTTGAGCACAGGAGGAGGGCGATGATGAGGGCGGGAAGCGGTCAGTTCGAGCAGGAAAGCTAAAGTGAAGAAATCCTAAACAAGCCTGAATCATGCAGTGACTACATAGCAAACTGTACATGCAAGAGGATCAAAATGGTGACACATGCGGTGAGGTATCGGATACTCAGTCCACCTAGTTGATCGATTGAAATTGACTGAAATGATCGAAAAACGTGGAATTGAAAATTGAAGCGACATCGTGTCTCGTGGAGCAGCTTCGGAGTTTTCTCGTGGTGCGAGTGAAACCGTTGGTGTTGGTGAAAGATCAGTGAGGCCACAACCAAGTAAATCAAAATCAAGAGGCGCTCTGTAAAAGTAAGTGGTGTGGGACAAATCAAAATCTGTTGGTAAGCTAAAGCGGACGCTCACTGGGGCTGCTCGTCAGCGCCGTAGTTGTTCCAAGGGTCGTTTGCCGGGTCATAGTCTTGGGCATGGAGCGGCAGCTGGCGACCCGAAGCGTCGTAGAGAACTCGGGGAGGGGGGTTGTTGTAGATGCCCAGGATTGACCTGCGGTGTGTGGTGGGGAATGTGGAGGACTGGTGGCGCTGGTTTCGGCACTGGATTGGGCACTGGATAGGGGCCCGGCCAAGCGTGGGCTGTGGGGGAAATGGAGGCCGGAGGTGTGGGAGGGACATATGGGAGTTGAACCGGAGGTGGTGGCGCGGGGTAATGTGAGCTCGCTGGCGGAGCGGCCATAGGTGGAGCCTGGAATGCCGGTGGTGGTTGCTTGGGCTGCTGGTCCGGTGGTTGAAGGAGAAAAGGAGTGGAGGAAGTGGCTCGTGGTTTCGGTACAGGGGAGCCGCGTCGGGGTTCTGAACGCGTGGATCTGGTCCACCTCTGGGGTGGGGATGAAGTTGGTATTTCAAATAGGAAACAGCCTAAAAGATACACCTTTTTCCTTGAGCCAAAGGCACGCGTAGTAGGGGCAATGTATGTACAATAGCTGTGAAAAAATACCCCCCGCGGCGCCGCCAGTTCACTGGCAGCACCGAAGAGGCAGACAGCAGCC